TAGCTCATTAGAATACCCTATTTATGAACATTCCAGTTTTTCAAATTTTTACTATGTTAAATTTTAAAATAATTTGGGGAATAGATGGACGGATGTGCAATAAAGCAAGTATAATTTACAGTTAATTGTAGTCTAGGTAGTGGGTCTATGGGTGTTCAGTATAAAATTCTCTTACTAAAGATTTTTATAAAAATGTTAAAGAAAGTAGAGTTGGGGAAATTAATGCTGCTTTACCAGTTCACTCCAACATTATACATAATTTGAATATTTACTAATAATTCTAAAAGCTCACTTACATGTAGCATACAGCAAAAATAAGTTAATCTTTTGAGGTTGTAAACTTTGAATCTGCTGAATGTTTTCCCTTGCCTTTTCAAGTGGGTTGGTTAGATGGTTATGTCTAAAATAATAGAACTCTCGTCAGTGACAGAACACCAAATTGTAATCAAGAGCTGAAAGATTAACAAAAGGATCATGTATTTAAGCATTGGCTTATTTGGGAAATGTGATAGATGACATTTAATGTTAATGTTGAAAAATAAAAAGTTAAAAAAAAAAAGGCCAATTAGCTCAGGTGTTTAGAGTGTGGTGCTGATAACACCAAAGTCCAGGGTTCCATCCTTGTACCGGCCATAACTTTGTTAATGTTGACATAAATGTTAATGTTGGAAGAACCTTTAATTAGAGGAGGATTAAGAGGTAGGTGAAGATTATAAAGATTCTGAAAGGCATTTCTAATAACTGTCCATTGAGAGGAAAGTTAAAGAAATTATCTAAAGTGGCAAGGGGAAATAGGTGTTTATGAGGTGCATGTCCCCAAGAGAAGAAAGGGGATGGCTGAAGGGCTACTTAGCACTGAAGTGACTGGAGTGGAGGGCAAGGCAGTGTGCAACTCTTAACATTTGGTTGGTTCCTACTCTTTAAAGCTTTTAATGCTGAATTAATACAAATGGAGCTAATGGAAAGCTAAAAGTGTTGTTTGAAATTATTCCTTAAGTGATGCAGTTCCACGTTCCATAATAGACATTCATATAAAACCACCACCTTTTGGGCAAAATAAAGTGTAGGCAAGGTGCAGTCACAAAAACGCTTTAAGAGTATCAGTTATATTTGACTACTGACAGGCAGCTCAGAGCTCTGTATAAAGTGCTATTTACATATGACATACTTCAGAACAAAAAACTTTCATCCATTTTTTTAAGTGGCATTTGAAAAAATCCTATTTAATAGATTATATGGTAAGAGTAGGGGATTATAAAATTTAAAAAAACTTTCATCCATTTTTTTAAGTGGCATTTGAAAAAATCCTATTTAATAGATTATATGGGAAGAGTAGGGGATTATAAAATTTAAAACAATACCAAAAATGATTCAAATTTATATATACATTAAAAATTGTAATGAATATCCTAACAAAACTAGAACATTAGTATTTCTAATTCATCTACTTTTAACATTTTAAGGGCAAAATTTTAAGGTTTACTGACAGTGACGAATATTAAGTTTTTCCTAACATTCTTATGAAACTGTATAAATACTTCACAATGTGGTAAATTTGAGTTAATGTTCCTCCTCAGTTTTAAAAGATTTCCCAGAAATTTCTGACAAGTTATATAATGTCGATTTTGAGGTCTTTAACAGAAAAGGTGTCAATTATTACTGTGAAGCAGACACTGCCTCACGAATGTAATCCCCTCTCCCCCCAAGTCCATTAAATTTTTCTATTAAAATAAGGCTATTAGGGCTTAGCAGACTATATTGAGATTTTTGTTGAAGTCAAGTCAATTTAATGGCATTTTGAGTACATACTATCAGGAGTAAGCAAAGAAAACTGGAACGTAGTTTCTTGAGAAAATAGGTGATCATAAACAACGAATTGTGGATGTCTCCCAACAATCTAACTTTATGAAGTGATTTCTAAAAAGAATTTTGGCTTTATAACACCAAGTCAAGGGTTCAGATCCCATACCAGCCTGCTGCCAAAAAAATAAAAAGAAAAAAAGAAAAAGAAAATAGTACTTAGGCATTTGGTTAACAGAATTATACTCCTAGAGAAGAAGCACCTTTGCTTCTTGTTTCAATTACACTTTTTCTGAGGAAAAAGTATACTCACCCTACACAAGCTGTAACATACAAGAGTAATGTACATGCAAGTAATCTATTTCTAGGACTAAATATTGATTACTGGCTAGGCATTCTCTCATTTGAACAAACTTGACTCTTTAAATTTCCTACCAACATTGTGAAAAAACTTGAAACCCGTACACAGTAGTATATTCATTTTAATTTGTAATCTCTTTACTAGTATATGAACAGATGTAGGTTGAGTGTGGTGAAACAAACATATAATCACATAGTACTTTTAAAAAATGGTAACCAACAATCCACTGAGCTTCCATCATCTATCTACCTCCAGAAGTTGGTTGGTACTGTTTCTTTTCACAAGTTCAGAGTTACGATATATTACTAGAATATTAAATTCAAGAAAGAATAATCATAACTCTTTTCCCCAAATAGAACAAAAACATCAGGATACTATGTTTTGGAAAATACTACTGTTGGGGTATGATAGTCTATGTATATTTATATTTTATTCTCATTTTTTCCCCACATAATTCCTTTAAATAAAAGACATAATTACTTTAAATAAATAATTATTTTAAGTACTGTTTTAACTTGAGAGTAGTTGAATCAACCTGAAATATCTAACACATCTAGTCAAGGACTATATTTCAAAAAAAGGTCTGTGATAATTATCTTTTTACTTAATTTTCTTAATTTTAGGAACATCTTTTCAAAGACATACAAGATACAAATTTTCCACAGTGACTAAATCAGGACCTGGTAGACCAATGCCAGAGTTAATGCTATGATCCTAAATATCCTTCTTTCATCAAGGGAGTGATTTAGATGCTAAGGTGCATAATCCCCATTTAATACTTGCAGATGTTTTCTAATCAAATATCTAAATAAGAAAAATGAAAGAAGAAATCTGAATATCTACCCTGTATTTGGTACTCTTTTAAGCATCTTTTTTAATCTTAAACTTTATGGGACAAATATACCCATATTTTACAGGTAAAGAAACTGAGTTTCACAGTTATTAGGTAACTTGCCAAGGTTGCATAGTTAGTAAATAAATGGGTGTGTGGAATTCAAATGGAGTTCTGACTCCAAAATTCATAAATGTATCACTGAACCAGTGGGCCTTTAACTCTTGGGTCACAGACTTACTTGAAAATCTGGTAAGCCACATCTCCTTTGAGAAAGGTACACATTATAGTTTGGCATTTAATTTCACAGGGCCTAGACCTGAAGCTCTGGGTGCATGATGCCAGGTTAAGAACCCTTGCACCAGACCATGCTACATTAAATAGCATATATTTATACAAATACTCTATTCTACCACCCTGTTTGGAAAACAAATTTAATTTTTAAAATCTAAGTAAGAAATTATAATTTTAATGTAATTTAGAAAAATTATAAAAGCATTTCTAAATACCACTTTCTTTAAACTTTAATCAATTTTGCCTCTGGCAATGGGATCAGAATAAAAGCAGCAATTCCTTTTTATTTGTAATGCAACAGTGTGTCTTACACCTCAAGTAAACATTACTAATAATAAAGTCCTGAAATTAGTTAATTTACATTTAAAAATAAATTATTCCAGTGGGTTAAAATTAATTCCTAGACTCCAAATAAATATTTCAGCAAATTCTCTTGTTACCTGTTAGCAGCTGCAAAATATCAGCTGCTATGCAGATATTATTTGTGCATTATTCACGGGAGAAACAAGCAGCTATAGTGGCCTTCATTTTCTTTGATTTTACCATGTCTTCTATGATCCTGAACAAATGATGGTAGTTCCCTTGCACTAAAGCTGAGATGTACCTAAATATAGTCTCTTTAAGGAACTTATCACAGATGTCTGAAATCAAAACACTTGCTTTATTTATCTTTTTTTTTTAAGATGACCGGTAAGGGGATCTTAACCCTTAACTTGGTGTTGTCAGCACCAGGCTCACCCAGTGAGCTAACCGGCCATCCCTATATGTGAACCGAACACATGGCCTTGGCTCCCGAGTGAGCCACAGGCCGGCCCCCTGCTTTATTTATCAATAGGCATTCTTACCCTAAGAATCTCTATTAAATGGTCCAAGAAACAATTCTATGATAAGAGTGAACCCTAGAATAAAGATGTTCCCAGCAGACAATTTTCCAAGATACCCAGCCAATCAATTTTCACCAAGAGTCAATGGACCCATTTTCACTAAAGCCTACAGTCATTTCTTTTCCTATTTTTATTCTCTTGCTTTCCTCTACACATTATCGCAGTTAAGCATATATGTGTCAAAGACTTTTCTCTTCCTAAAAGACACAGCATAATAATCAGGCAGAGGACTCTGGAGCCCAGCCACTCCCCAGCTCCCAAGTTTAATGGTTCTGTGCCCTTGTAACTTAACCTCTCTGTATATTTCCTTATCTGCAACGATATTTACCTTATATGGTTGTTGTGATTATTAAATAGATGAGTGAATAACATAAAACTTATAGAGCAAGCACATAGGAAATGCTCAAAAGAGTTTGAACTATTATCATTCCAGCTCTTCCACCAAACCAAATAATATCCTCCTAAGCAGCCTAGGGATTACAACAGAAAACCAAGCCAGAGGTAAGTCAAAGGATTAAATATGTTCAGAAATATTGCCTTATTAACTTTTTACAAAGAGATAATGATTTGTGAATGCAGAGTAATGACATTATAATCAATTTCTAGTTATTACTTTAAATGACTGCATGTATGTGTATGGACTTATATATTTACTTAGAATATATAAAAATTACTATTAATATTTGTTTTACTCATTCTTCAGACTATTCTTTCAATTTTCAATAGTGCCACATAATTTTATAACTAAATTTTATTATAACTGAACACCTCAAAGAGTTGTAGTTGTGAAATAAATTTTGCTATGATTAAATAAAGTCTATTCAGAAAGTACAATATACATGAATTTATGGTATTTGTCCAAGTATTACCAGCATACAAATTATTCTGTAAAGTTGTTTCTTACATATAGGGTCTAAAATGCAAAGAAAAGTGAATTTGTATTCAAAACAAATAGAAGCAACACTGGCTCCAATATACTAAAAATACAAGATAAGACAGATTTTTTTCTTAAGCACTCTGGATACAAATATTAACTCTATGGGTTGAGAACTTTTAAGTCTCAAGAGAATAATTCAACAAGGTATACAAGTAGAGCTCTATAAATATAACCCCCATAATAATTATATGCAAAACCATTTTATCACAAATACTACCAAAACCCTGTGAAAAACATAAACTACAAACACATTTTAAAAGGATCTCTTAACTATAACTACAAAAGCAAAAAATATCAACAAAGTTATATGGTTTAAAAAAATGAAAGGCAATGTAATGTAAAATTCAAATACTACAAAGTTTTAAAGATGCAGTCTTGTCTTAATAGAAAGTACTAAACACTATTTCAAACTAATAAAGACATTCTATATAGTTTAAAGTTTTGAGCTTAGAGCTCTAAAAGGAAAAAAATTAAACAGCAGGTGAAAAGTAGGTATGTAGAAATAATGGTATAAAATATGATTTTATACAAAATGTATCACTGTTCAAATATGTAAGGCTTAATAAGAATATTTTTGGATTGTGAGTGTTGCACACCATAACTTTTAAAGAAGTTGTCTCAAACCTTTCAAAATCCAATATTTCTAAAATGTTTTGACATTTCTGAAGTGAACATGGTACAGGACACAATTTCATGTCAACTTACCTATATTGTTCCATCCAATAAAAATAAAACCTTCTTTGAGCTCAAGAGAGAATGCATCTTTTGAATACTTGATCTCTATATAAATTCTACTTTCTGGAATGTCAAATTTTGTAATATGAACTAATATCAACCAGGAATTGGCCCAAGTTTAAATAAGACACAAAAGAGACATAGGTGTCAAACAGTTTAAGTCTGCCCTATGCAATTATACAGTCATAATTTTTACATGAAAGTGCTTTAAAGTAAAAAATATTTTTGTAAAAGTATCCAAGTAGAATTTTCTAAATTAGTTCAATTTTACCCATTTCCTTTGAAAATAACCCTTCTGCCACAATGTAAACAAAAATGGTCCATAAAATGGTGACATATGATACATCATAATTTGTGGTGTGGGCCCTTAAATTGAGACAAATCTTTATTAATCCAAAGCTAGAGAGCTTTTATTTTTTCTTACACATGCCCAAAGTAACTAATATCAACTCACATTTTCTGTAAGCCTTGAAGAATTTTTATTTAACATAATGAGAGGTTTAATAACTTATATTAAAGACTATGTAGTGCTCTTCAGTTGCTGTTCACCAACTGTTTTTATGACGATAACTCTGAGATCTGGAATGTGACCGAAAATGAGAATGTTTTGCTGTTTGTGCTTTAGTTTCAGAATTGGTGTACCCTTTGGGAGATTTACATGGGGATCTTGCTATGGAGTCAGAATGTCTTCCATGTGATCTTGATTTTGTTCCTGAGCTAGTCTGCTTTTGAGGTGAACTTGATTGTGATTTTCCTATTGACTTGGATCTTTTTTGTAAGGACTTGGACCTTGACCGTCCTCTAGATCCAGAATTCCTTCTTGGAGTTCTTGACTGCCTTGCTGAGGTAGACCGCCTTGGTAGTGATTTGGAACGAGATTTAGACTGGCTATAAGAAAATCGTCTGTGTCGAGACCTGCAAACATTCATAATGTTAGAGCATATATTTCACACAAAACAATAGGTTAGAAAATAACACTTTCAGTAAACTTTTATACTTAACATAACAAATGGGTCATCAGTACTGAAAAATGTCCTGCATATTTATATTTAGTCTGGGTTACACAACTCTTAAGAGATACAAAAATCTGAAGGAAAAAAGATTTAAAAAAAAAAAGGAGAGAGAAAGAAAACAATTATTTCAAGTTTATCAAATAATGCTTATAAAAACAAAAACCTAGAAGCAGGACTTCTGGGTGCTGCCATGATAGAGCAGCTTGTACTAGACTAATCTTTCCATAGAAAACAGCTATGTAACATTTATGAAACAACTGTTCAAAGGCATTAAAAGCATAACTTGAGGGGTTACAAGGCTTGGCTCTTTTACTAAGACCATCTTCCATATGACAGCATGGGGGAATTGAGTCCAACCATACAATGACTGTTTGACTATGCTGAAGAGATAGAAGTTAGAATTTAGAGCTACCAAAATGGCTGGGACTTGAGAGGCAAAATTCCAGAGACAAGGGAAAACAGACCAAACAGAATCCCTAAAATCTGCCTACAGATTCTTTTTAAGTCACTGGCTATCTTATAAGTTGTACATGCAAAGGATGAGACTCCAAGAGGCCAGCAGAAAATAGCAATTGGGAAATTCAAGAACTGAGCTGAAATTTAATCAGACACACAGTGTTGGGGAGCGAGGCTGGAGTTCAAGCCCCTAAGAGGTTGAGAAGCCTTGGGCAAAAATCCAGGCTTTCGGGCCGGCCCGGTGGCGCACTGCTACAGTGCGCCGCTTGGGAGCGCGGTGGCGCTCCCGCCGAGGGTTCGGATCCCACATACAGACCGGTTCCCGCTCACTGGCTGAGCGAGGGGCGGGCGCAGCACCGAGGGTTGCGATCCCGTTGCCGGTCCCGGTCCAGTACGGGCGCGACACTGAGGGTTGCGATCCGTTGCCGGACACGAAAAAAGACAAAAAGGAAAAAGAAAAAAAAAAAGATGACATAAGATGGACTTAACAGCAATCTGGATATAGCAGAAGAAATAGTGAACTGAAATATTATTAGAAAAACATCCTACTGAAACATGAGAGAGAAGGAATTTTAAGAAATCCCGAGAGGAAGAGATATGTGGCATATGGTCACACAGCCAAGATGAAAGATTCAATAAAGCAGAAGCAATATTTGAAGACATAATGGCCTAGAATTTTCCAAAACTAATAAAAGGCATCAACTCACAATTACAAGCTCAATAAACCCCTAAATAGGTAGAATAAATGAGAGGTCTGCAAAAGATTCATGGAAAATGCATATTATGAAAACACTATGCATGGATTTCAAATTTTTTTTCCACCAAAATAAACTCATACTAACCTGTTATAATGTGTCTAAACAGGATCTAGTTGGAGGCATTAAGAAATATATGACATCAATTTGAAAAGAGTCCCTATCAGAGCAACATGATTTCTGCTAAAACTGAAGCAAGAATAAACATGAAACTGATGGTGAGGCTTGGGTGGAAGAATGGGGAAGGTGGAAGCCTGCAGTGACAGACCATCCATCTCAATTTGCCAGGAAAAACATTAATGTTATTTGTGCCCTAATTGAAGATGGCTGACAGTTTAACAGCAGAAACAACAGCCAACACTACCATACATCTCAACTGGCTCAGCTTACACAATTCTGACTGAAAAATTAAAGTGGAGCAAACTTTTTGCTCAATGGGTACCAAAATGTTGTGCCCAGATCAGCTTTCAACAAGAACAGAGCTTTCAGTGGAAATTTAAAACAAGTGGAATCAAGATCCTGAATCATTTCTTTGAAGGACTGTAACAGGATATGAAACATGGTTTTACCAGTATGATCTTGAAGAAAAAGCACAATCAAAACCATGGCTAACATAGTCCAGTGAAAGCAGAGACGGATCAGTCAAGAGGAAAGATACTGGAAACAGTTTTGGGGAAGCTTGAGGCATTTTGCTTCTTGACATTCTGGAGGGCCAAAGAATGATAACATCTGCTTATTATGAGAGTGGATAAAGTTAGCCAAAGCTTTAGCAGAAAAATTTCCAGGAAAGCTTTACCAGAGAGCCCTCCACAACAGTGCTCCTGCTCATTCCTCTCATCAAACAAGAGCAATTTTGTGAGAGTTTTTTTTTTTTTTTTTAATATTCTTAAAAAGATGACCAGTAAGGGGATCTTAACCCTTGTCTTGGTGTTGTCAGCACCACACTCAGCCAGTGAGCGAACCAGCCATCCCTATGTGGGATCCGAACCTGTGGCCTTGGTGTTATCAGCACCACACTCTCCCGAGTGAGCCACGGGCCGGCCCAGTTGTGAGAGTTTTGATGTGAAACATTAGGTGTCCACCTTACAGTCCTGATATGGCTCCTTCTGACCTCTTTTTGTTTCCTAATTTTTTTTTGTTTGTTTGTTTTTAAAGATGACCGGTAAGGGGATCTTAACCCTTGACTTGGTGTTGTCAGCACCATGCTCACCCAGTGAGCTAACCGGCCATCCCTATGTGGGATCCGAACCTGTGGCCTTGGTGTTATCAGCACCGCACTCTCCCGAGTGAGCCACGGGCCGGCCCAGTTGTGAGAGTTTTGATGTGAAACATTAGGTGTCCACCTTACAGTCCTGATATGGCTCCTTCTGACCTCTTTTTGTTTCCTAATTTTAAAAAATGTTTAAAGGGCACCTATTTTTCTTTAGTTCTTAATGTAAAAAAAGAGTGCACTGACATGGTTAAATTCCCAGGACCCTCAGTTCTTTAGAGATGGACTAAATATGACTAGTATCATTGCTTACAAAAGTGTCTTGAACTTGATGGTGCTTATGCTGAGAAATAAAATTTATATTCCTTATTTTTATCTTTTAATTCCATTTGTCTATGAACTTTCTTTCTTTTTTTTTTCCTTTTTGTCTTTTTTACTGCCCAGCAACGGGATCGCAACCCTCGGTGTTGTGCCCGCACTGCGCTCAGCCAGTGAGCGGGAACCGGTCTCCACATGGGATCCGAACCCTCGGCGGGAGCGCCGCCGCACTCCCAAGCGGCGCACTCTCCAGTGCGCCACCGGGCTGGCCCATGAACTTTCTGAAGTCCCCTCATACAAAGAAAACTACACTAGGCATGTCACAGTCAAACTACAAAAAACCAAAGTCAAAGAGAACATCTTAAAAGCTGCCAGAGAATAAAAGACAAATTACCTTCAAAGCAGCAACAATAAGACAGCTGATTATAGGTATCAGAAAAACAATGGAATGGCATTATTAAAGAAAGAAAAGAAAAAACCCCAAACCTGCCAACCTAGAATTCCATCACCAGCAAAAATATCTGTCAAAAATGAATGTAAAGAAGTTTTCATACAAACGAAAGGTGAAAGAATTCACTGCTAGCAGACCTGTACTATAATACTTAAAAATCTTTAGACTGAAGGAAAATGATACCAGCTAGAAACACTGAACTAGAGGAAGGAATACAGAACACTGGGAAGTGTAAATATATTGAAGTAGAAATATATTAAATATATTATGGAATAAATACACAGTCTTTTAGAAATTATTAAATTTCAGTTATTTCATAGATAGCTGTAGAAAACAAAATGGGAAAAATGTCTTTGAAAAGAAATCCTAACATATGAAAAAAAGGCACTATATTTAGACTAAAGGTGGCTAAGAGAAAATTTTAGTATTTTTCAATAATATTTAGAGTTCTAATACAGTTGTCCTTTGGTATCCATGGGGGATTGGTTCCAGACACCCCCCCCACCACACTCCCCATGGATACCAAAATCTGGGATACTCAAGTCACACAGTTGGCCCTGCAGAACCCATGTACATGAAAAGTCAGCTCTCTGTATAAGTGGGTTCTGCATCCCTTGAATACTGTATTCAGTATTCAGACTCAAGGTTGGTTGAAAAAACTCCACAAATAAGTGGACCTACACAGTTCAAACCCATGTTGTTCAAGGATCAACTGTGTATAAGAGTACTTGAAAAAGTTCACGGAAAAATGGAATTAAAAGGTAATACAATCTTTCTACAACTTTCTGAAGACCTCTTGGACACATTCATTGACTTGAAGTCAACAAAGACTTATGGAATACCTAATATGAGCTAAGAACTACTGCTAGCTGCTAGGGATATACTCATGAATAAGACAAAAGTCCTTGTCCTTCGGGCCGGCCTGTGGCTCACTCGGTAGAGTGCGGTGCTGATAACACCAAGGCCACGGGTTCGGATCCCATGTAGGGATGGCCGGTTTGCTCACTGCCTGAGCGTGGTGCTGACAACACCAAGTCAAGGGTTGAGATCCCCTTACCGGTCATCCTTTTAGAAAAAAAAAAAAAAAAAGTCCTTGTCCTTCAAAGAATTCATAGTCTAGTGACAGCAACAAACTAGTTTTTTTTCTACATCCAGAGAAGGCAAAATAAGACAAAGGCAAAATAGATCTCCTTTTACAGTACATATTAGGTTTATATATATTCTGATCCACATTCACACAAACATACACACACACACACACACACATAAATATACACTTACACCTACCCACCCATACAAAATCTGATCCTAATGAATACTTTGAGAGCTAGGTTAAGATTTGCATTCTCTATAAAAGAATTTTTAAAATGAGAAAAATTGGGTCAGGGAGGTTAAACAATGGTCTTTTAACTAGTACAAAGAAGAAAAGCATTGTCTTGAAAGATGTGGTCCTTTCTATCCCTAATACCCTATGATGACTGGGGAAAATTAAAGGCCACTTTTTTTTTTTTTTTTTCAAGCCAAGTGTTGTACTTTACTTCCACTAGAAGGCAGACAATGATGTGAATATCTACCTTATTTAGATCAACCAGGAGGAATAAACTGGTTAACTAAGGTTCTAATGCATTTGGAAACAATTTAAATTTTTAATGAAGGCAATGGAATTTTCTTTTTTCTTTTACAAGCTAAATCATTTTCACCAAGGCCAGTGGATTACTTATTATTCAGTAATTTAGGGCAGTGCTGCTTAGGTAAAAACTGACATCTACTTTGTCCTTTGATTTATAGATTAAACCATTCATTTTATATATACCAATCACATTCTAAACCTAAACTAAATTATATATTTGTATATGTGTGTATGTATACATATAAACATAGTTAGAGGATATACATATAAAATTCAAAGTAATCTAAACTGTTGTACATTACTCCCTTATAATATTCATGTCCTCTGTGAAGCTAGAAGCAGTATAATTGATATTGGTGTTGTTTTCCTTTATGCAAGGCATGTAAATTAAGAAAACAGTCTTAATTTGGTCTCAACATGTTTTAAATTCTATAAATACAACTTTGTGTTTGAGTATAGAAACAATATATCATAGCCTAAATTTCAAATAGCCTATCAATGGAAAAAATCGTTTTCCTTTAGCCATGGAACAAACTGGGTCATTCTCCACAAGATGTAAGGGAGGTTTATATTGTTAGTCTACCAGAGACAGGATGATAATAAAGATGAAGATCTAAAATATGCTATGGCTGTTTATAAGTAGTTCTTCAACAATCTTGGTAATGGCCCAATCCTGACCTGGGTTCTCACAGCTTATAAGAGGAGCTTAAAGCTTCCCCAGCTTCACATCTACCCAAGGATGGGCCAAAATCAAAGCATTTGGATCACATCAGAGGTGAGGTACTTATTTGACATATAAGATTTGATGGCTCTGATAAGGCCACACTTTCTAGCAATTAGGATTCTTGGGTATTAAAAAGCCACAGAACGTGGATGTGGTTCTCTCCTCTTATCTTTCCTTTCTACTTGGCTGGAGAAATAAGAGCCAGGCCACTTCACAATCTTGGTTTTAGAACTAAGGACTTGGGGTAATGACGCTCTCTCTTTGGCTCTGCTATGTATACCCTGTGTTAGACTTTTTCTTGTCTAGGCTCTGGGAGTTGAGGAACGGAGGGACTGGGAGTGAAAGTGAACAGCTGTGGTAAATGGCTTTGATTTGAAGCTATGTGGGCCTATCAAGCTTAGGTGTACTACATGTACTACATGATATTATTGTATATGCTGATATTCTTTAAGAATCCACCTTAAAATTCTATGTGCCGGGCCGAGCCCGTGGCGCACTCGGGAGAGTGCGGCGCTGGGAGGGTGGCGCTGGGAGTGCAGCAGCGCTCCTGCCGCAGGTTCGGATCCTATATAGGGATGACCGGTGCGGCCGGTCTCAAAAAAAAAAAAAAAAAATTCTATGTGCCTATGAAATAATTACAGCATTAAAACTGAAGATAAATACTATAAATGTTTAAGAATTTAGGCATACCAATACAATTTCAGTTATTATTTCAATAGCTTCATCATGTAATTAATTTCCATTGAGATTTACTATTACTTGTATTCTAACAGAAACAAATTCCTGGCTGGCAAAATAGATAACTTGGGGGCTGGCCCAGTGGCGCACTGCTACAGTGCGCTGCCTGGGAGCGCGGCGGCGCTCCCGCCGAGGGTTCAGATCCCACATACAGACCGGCCGCTCACTGGCTGAGCGAGGTGCGGGCGCGACACCGAGGGTTGCGATCCGTTGCCGGTCACGAAAAAAAGACAAAAAGGAAAAAAAAAAAATAGATAACTTGCAAATATCTCTTCTCCTTAAATTAACTATTTTTTATGTCTTCTTCCTACAATACTGCCATACTTGGAATTTATTCTTGATAATAATTTACCTATTATAAGTACATTAATTTATACTAGTTGACCTCCTTTCACAAATGATTGTATTATATATCTTACAAGTTTAGTCATTTTCAAAACTCAAGATTCTGGGGCCGACCCCGTGGCGCACTCAGGAGAGTGCAGTGCTGGGAGCGCAGCGGCACTCCCGCCGCGGGTTCGGATCCTATATAGAGATGGCCAGTGCGCCCACTGGCTAAGCGTGGTGCGGGCGACACTACACTAAGGGTTGCAATCCCCTTACCGGTCACAAAAAAAAGGACAAAAAAAAAAAAAAAACAAAACTCAAGATTCTGAATTTTGAGTCTCATTTATGAAAAAAAATTTTTTTT